TGGAAGCACATACCTTGTTCATGGATTGGAAGGATTAACATCATTAAAATGTCCATACTACCCAAAGCAATCTATAGATTCAGTGTAATCCCTATCAAAATACCAACGACACAGAACTAGAACAAATACTTCTATTTACAATATCATGTCATCTGCAAATAACATGTTTCACTTCCTCCTTTCCAATATGGATTCCCTTTATTTTTTCTTCATGTCTGATTGCTGTGGCTAAGACTTCCAGTACTATGTTAAATAACAGTGGCAAAAGTGGGCATTCCTGTCTTGTTCCCGTTCTTAAGGAGAATGCTTTTATTTTTTGCCCATTGAGTATGATGTTGGCTGTAGATTTTTCATATGTGGTCTTTATTATGTTGAGATATGATCCCTCTATTCCCACCTTGCTGAGCATTTTTATCAGAAATGGGTGCTGGATTTTGTCTAATGCTTTTTTAGCATCTATTGATATGATCATATGGTTTTTATTTTCCTTTTGTTTATGTGGTGTATCACATTTATTGATTTGCGAATATTGTACCATCCTTGCATGCCTGGGATGAAACCCACTTGGTCATGATGAATAATTTTTTTTGATGTATTGCTAGATCCGATTTGCTAATATTTTGTTAAGGATTATGGCATCTGTGTTTATTAGGGATATTGGCCTGTCGTTTTCTTTTTTTGTAGTGTCTTTATTCAGTTTTGGAAGTAGGATTAAACTGGCCTCATAAAATGAGTTTGGAAGTGTTCCATCTTCTTGGATTTTTTGGAATAGTTTGAGAATGAGTATTAAATTTTCTTCGAATATTCAGTAAAACTCCCCTATGAAGCCATCTGGGCCTGAGCTTTTGTTCGCTGGAAGTTTCTTAATTACATCTTCAATTTCCTTTATTGTTATTGGTCTGTTCAAGTTTTCTATCTCTTCCTGGTACAATTTTCGGAGGCTGTGTTTTTCTAGAAATTTGTCCATTTCTCCTAGATTGTCCAATTTGTTGGTGTATAATTGTTCATAGTATGTTTTGATGATCCTTTGTATTTCTGTGGTGTCAGTTGTTACTTCTCTTTTATTTTTTATTTTGTTTATTTGGTTTCTCTCTTTTTGTTTCTTGGTGAGTCTGGCTAAAGGTCCATTGATCTTGTTTATCTTTTCAAAGAACCAGCTTTTTGTTTCATTGAACTTTTGGATTGGTTTTTTGTGTGTGTGTGTGTGTTTTTAGTCTCTATGTCGTTGATTTTTGCTATGACTTTTACTATCTCCTTCCTCCTACTAGTTCTGTTTTTGTTTGTTTGTTTGTTTGTTTGTTTACTTTCTAGTTCTTTAAGTTGTAGGGTTAGAAAGTCAATTAGGAATTTTTCTTGTTTCTTGAGGTAGGCCTGTAGTGCTATGAACTTCCCTCTCAGGACTGCTTTTGCTGTGTCCCATAGATTTTGTGTTGTTGTGTGCTCGTTTTCATTGGTTTTTCAGGAATTTTTTAATTTCTTCCTTGATCTCGTTAGTAGCCCATTTGTTGTTTAATAACATGCTATTTAGCCTCCATGTGTTTAAATGTTTTTGTGTGTTTTTATTGTAATTGAGTTCTAGTTTCATGCCACTGTGATCTGAGAAGATGCTTGATATGATTTCAATCTTCTTGAATTTGTAGAGACTTGCTTTGTGTCCTAACATGTGGTCTATCTTTGAGAATGACCCATGTGCATTTGAGAAGAATGTATATTCTGCAGCTTTGGGGTAAAATGTTCTATAAATATCAATGAAGTCCAACTGATCTAGTTTTTCTTGTAAGGACTCTATATCTTTGTTAATTTTTTGTCTAGAATATCTATCCAGTGGTGTCAGTGGTGTGTTAAAGTCACTCACTATGATCATGTTGCTATTGATCTTTTCCTTGAAGTCCTCCAGAAGTTTTTCAAGATATTTTGGTGCTCTCATATTTGGTGCATATATGTTTACCAGGGTTATATCCTCTTGTTGGATTGATCCTTTTAATATTATGTAGTGACCTTCTCTGTCTCTTATTATGGCCCTTGTTTTGAAGTCTATCTTGTCAGATTTGAGTATTTTCTTCACCAGCTTCTTTTCCATTTCCATTTCCTTGGAAACTTTTTTTCTATCTCTTCACTTTCATCCTGTGTGTCTTTTGTTGTGAGGTGGGTCTCTTGTAGACAGCATATATATGGGTCATGTTTTTTTAATCTAATGTCTTACCCTATGTGTTTTCATTGGAGCATTTAAGCCATTTACATTTAAGGTAATTATTGATAGAGGGTTATTAGTTGCCATTTTAATCTTATGCCTGTGTTCCTCTCTCTCTCTCTCTCTCTCTCTCTCTCTCTCTCTCTCTCTCTCTCTCTCTCTGGTTCTTCTTCTTACAACAGTCCCTTCAGCATTTCTTGCAGTGCTGGTTTGGTGGTGGTGAATTCCTTTGGCTTTTGTGTGTGTGTGTGAAGCTCTTTATTTCTCCATCAATTTTGAATGATAGCCTTGCTGGATAGAGTAGTCTTGGATTCTGACCCTTGCCTTGCATTCCTTTGTACACTTCATGCCACTCCCTTCTGGCCTGCATTGTTTCTATTGAGAAATCAACTGACTGTCTTATGGGAGCTCCCTTGTAGGTAACTTTCTAACTCTCTCTTGCTTCCTTTAAGATTCTTTCTTAGTCTTTAATGATTGCCGTTTTTATTATGATATGTCTAGCTGTGGGTCTTTTGGGGTTCATCTTGCTTGGGACTCTTTGTGTTTCCTCGACTTGTGTGACTTTTTCCTTCACCAGTTTAGGGAAGTTTTCTGTTATTATTTCTTCAAACAGGTTCTCTATCCCTTTTTTTTTATTCTTCTCCTTCTAGTATCCCTATAATGTGAATGTTGTTACGTTTTGTATTGTCCCACAGCTCTCTTAAACTTTCCTCCTGCATTTTAATTTTTTTTTTTCATTTGCTGCTTTATTTGGGTGTTTTTCTCTACCTTGTCTTCTAAATTGCTGATTCGGTCTTCGGCTTCTTCTAATCTACTATTGAACCCTTCTAAGGTATTTTTCATAACAGCTGTGTCATTCTTTATTTCTTCTTGATTTTTATGCATAGTTTCTACCTCTTTTTTTAAGCTGAAGTAGTTCCCAGTGAGCTCTTCATAATTCTTATTAAATTGCTTGTAGTTATCACCAAATTGTTTGAGCACCCTTAAAATCATTGCTTTGAATTCTTTATCTGACAAGTTGCTGTCTTCCATTTCCTGTAGTTCCTTTTCTGGTGATTCCTTTTTTTCTTTCCTTTGGGTGTTGTTTCTTTGTCTCCCCATTTTAGCCATCTGGTAGCTCTAGACCCAGTGAGGGATGTTTGGATGTGTAGGCAGCTCACTGTATACTAAATAAGGCTACTGTGCCTCCCAGACTGTTTTGTTTCGTGTCACCTCTTGCCTGCTGTGGATCCTGGAGGACTGACTATGGGGGGCTGGTATTGGTGTGTCCTGGTAGGTGCTGCTGCTGGATCACATGGGCCCCTCTGGAGCTGTGTTCCCAGCTGGTCGCTGGTGCCACCTGTAGCTGTATAGCTCAGGCCCTGCTGGAGCCGTGCTGCCTGCCAGTACCACGGGCAGCTGTGTTGCACAGGCCTCACTGGAGCCCTGGCTCCCTGCCGTTCTTGTGGGCAGTTGGGTTGTACAGGCTCCGTTGGAGTCTCTGCTTCCCACTGATCCCCTGGGGAGCTGAATCACACAATACCTTTGGAGACCCAAGTCCACACCTATCTTGTGGGCAGATGGATCACACAGGTCCCTCTGGAGCCCCAGCTTCCCACCGCTCTTGTGGGACACTGGGTGGCACAGGCCTCTGTGGAGCCCCAGGTCCCACTGCTGGGCGCTGGGGAGTGCTGCTGCCCTGCAGGGCTCAGCTTTTGCTGTAGTTTTTGGGGATAGGTCTCAGCTGCTAGTCTTTGCTTCTGTTGCCTGGGGATGGATGTCTGCTCCCCAGCCTCTGTCGCTGGGGGTATATCTCGACTCTGATCAGGCTGCTACTCTGGGGTGGTGCTGGGCTCCCGGCTGTCTGTGGTTTCTGCAACCTGCACCTTGGCAGCTCCGCTACTGTGCACTGGTCTGTGTTGACACAGAGTGTCCACTGGTCCGATGGTGCCTGGTGCACTGGTGGGCTCCTAGCTGCTCCCACCGCCTCCTCCCAGGGAAGACCCGGGATCTTCCAAAGTGGTGGGTCCTCCCCACAGCGCAGGGAGAAGCACCCTGAAGAGCCGCTCACCGCAGTAGCCGGCTACTCCGTCCACAGCACAGGGACCTTCTGCTCCGCGGCTCTGCACTGCTCGGGTTTGGTCGTCCTCCTTCACGTCCACTCACACTTACACACTAGCTCACTCTCTCACACACTCACCCTCCCTCCGGTCCTGCCCGCTGCCGTCTTCCACATGTACCCTATCCTTTGGAAAATTTTAATCATATTAAATCTAGTAGGTTATTTTATTTCCCAAACCTTTGCCACTCTACTTTCCAATATTTTGTCTTACACATTTTTTTAAAGACTGAGGTTGGTCAATTGTATGCAAATACTATTTTGTCGTATGTTTAAGCATCTTGTTTTATCTTACCAACTTTATCAGAATTATAGTTCCTGATACAATGTATTAATATTTCTCTCTCTGCCCCTCATTTTTAGTTAGCATTCCTAATTCTCCTACCTTGTTCAACATTTGCTTTTTTCATACTACTTACCATGTTCCAATAGGTTATGAACTTTTCCTACCTATTATATGTGTTGCCTACAGTCTGTCTCCCCAGTAGAAAGTGATTTCCACGAAGAGGTGCATCTAACCTATTCAGTACAAATGTCTTTCAAACCGGGCGTGGCCTAGAGTCAGTATTAGGCAAACACGTGTTGTATGAAAGAATGGCATGCAACATGGTTACAGAGACACGGCCGGAAGGAACATAACACGTCACAGTTTACTTTCCTGACATGACGGCACCTTTTGTTAAGCCGTGGTATTTTCTCTTATGCTTTCAGATATCAACATGGCAGGGGAACCCAAACCCTACAGACCGAAGCCCGGAAGCAAGCGGCCGCTTTCTGCACTCTACAGGTTAGTGCCGGGCGTGGTGCGGGGTCGGAACCTGTCCCCCAACGTGACAATTCAAACGTCCTCGTCTAACAAACCTCCCCGGGACAGCTCTCTAGGAAACGCTAATGAAACCTCTCATGACTGCCCGGCAGGTGGCGGGAGGGCTGCATTTGTGGATCACTGTGGATCACGTACCGGGGTTCCGCGCACGGTGTTGGATTTCCTGATTTCACAGAAGTGTCCGATGTCGGTCTTCAACAAGCTGATGCACAGCTTCTGAGCAACTCCCCTGGTCACACCAGTGCTCAGACTCATGCCTTCTGATGCTGTACCCCGAATTCCATCCACCTGACCATGCAGCCTCTTTGTGACAAAGTATATGTTCCTATCACCCCCATTCCCCCAAAACAGCAGCACGGTCTTCTCTTCCCTGGAGAGGCATCTCCGATTCCTTCCATCTTTCCTGATATCTCGGGTCTGAGTCAAGTTGCCATCTGGTCTTTTCCTGTCCATTTTCCCATGTCTCGAGCCTGCGCCTCAGCTGGTGCCGCAGACAGAGCAGATCTGGTTAGTGTCTTCATTGCTCTGGGCATGCTTTTCTTGGGTTATGTACAGTTCAGTCAATTTGGGGAAGAAAACAAAAGTAAAGCCTCGGACCTTTTGGTTTTTTACAAACAGCCACTTTGATTACAAAAAAAAGCATGCCCCTGGCTGGTTTGGTTCAGTGGTTGGGGCATCGGCCGGCAGACCAGAGAGTCCTGGGTTCGATTCTGGTCAAGGGCACATACCTCAGTTGTGGTTTGTCCCTGGCCCTGGTCGGTTGTGCGGGAGGCGACCAGTCAGTGTGTCTCTGTCACATCAATGTTTCTCTTTCCCTCCTTCCCACTCTATCTGAAGGTAAATGGGAAAATATCCTTGGGTGAGGACTGGGAAAAGAAGCCCTGTTCTGCTGCCGAGTCGACACCCCACTTCCTGCCCTTCTCCATTGGTTTCTGGGCCATATGAGCTGATTCTGAGTCTCTGCTCGGTTCCCTGCTGGACACGGCCAGTGTCCCAGGCAATGGCAATCACCTGTCATTCTAACCAGTCGGGCCTCTCTCAGATGCCTGTCTCCACCCCATCCACGTCCCCAGCCCACAAGCTAATGTGAGTGCTGAGAAGTCTCCTTCCCCTGAGAGTCTTTGGATAAAGGAGAACTGTTATACACAGCACAAAGGTTCGGTTCTGACACAATACAGTCCTGAAAAGATGGCTCGGAGCCGTACGCCAGTCTTGGTTCTCTGAGAACTGCATCCTCCCCTTAGCCACTCGCAGCCCTGCTTTCAAGCAAGATGAACCCATGGCCTGTTCATGCCCCTGTCCCGTGCAGTCTCATGAATGATCACTGGAGGTCTGAAAAGATACACTGGAAATGTATCTTGATTGATCTTATTATTTTGGTTGTGTGAATTTATTTAATTTCAACTGAACATTTTTGTATAAAAATGGAAAGCTAAGCGGCTTAGCAAATGCTGGTGACTGTCCCTCAGGCAGTACTGATGTGAGGGGTAGGGGGTGCCATTTGCACTGAAGCCCAGCTGGCACCGCTGAGAGATGCATCGTTCTCTGAGCAGGTGCATTTGTGAATGGATGCAGAACCTTTGAAAAGTCAATATTCAGTTATGAAAAGTGGTCAGTGCTGCCTTCTTATCACAGAGTTCACACTGTCTGTGGGTCATGTTCATTTTCCCATCGCCCTGGGGCCATTCAACTTCCTTATGACGATAGATGCTCAAGAGAAGAAACAAACACCTTTGTAACTGTTACTTCTCTGTTACTCAGTTACACTGAATTGTGAATTCAAAAGGAACTAGAAGCAGAAGTTCATTTCAATCTGACATGTTGTGCCGTCTCTCGGCCTGCTGGGATTGGTGCAACACAATGAAACTACAAGCACACACTGCTTGGAGTGAGGGGGAGCTTTGCAAGGGAGCAAATGCTCCAGATCTTTGGACGCAGTCCCATTTATTTGCAGATTGGTTCTCCCAGGTTACAAGTGGATTTATGTAAATTATTTTCTTGAGATGGTGTTTCTGAAAACCATACAGCCTAGCTTTGTCTCTTGCTTTTTACCAGAAGAGACTTTGAAGCCAAAAGATAACAAACCCTTATTCACATGCAAATGAAGCACTCAATGCACCTGGGCAGGCCAGGTTTCTGAGAATGCATTAACACGAGGTTGAGAGTACATTAACACAAGGTTACAAAATGTACATCTTCCAACCCTCCAACCCCACAATGTTGTCCCCAAACCACAATAGTGGGAAAATGCGTATTTATGCATTTCTTCCCCATTTACACAAATGAAGGCTGGGTGCCCTGAAATCACTGACCAGGCAGGAAGGGGACAAAGAGACGCGCGTCCCTGGAGACCCTTTCCGACAGGCTCTCGCGTCCTTACCTAAGCTTGGTGATAATGACGCCTCGCTTTTGTGGGACCTCCTATGTCTGCATAGTCATCCTTCTTTGTCCACCTCCTAAGTCCAGGGTAGGGTCATGTGACAGCTGTGTAGATGAGAAAGGCCAGCTTCTGAGACAAGGATTTGCCTGAAACCAAGTCCCCAGGGTAGAGACTGCCTCTGGTTGGCAGCCCGTAGCCTGGTGCTCCTGCCCTGGCTTGCAGCTGTCTCCTGACCAGCTGCCATCTCAACAGCACAGGTGTGAAAGCAGATGTCTGCCCCCCAACACCTGTAGTCAGTTCTGTCTCTGCCTGTGACTGTGTGTCACACAGGAACATGCAGTACCCCCACTGGGTGTGGCCACAGACAACAGGTTTGGGCTTCAGGTTCTTCTCACATGTTGGTTGTGTGATTTTTGGACAGGGTGGCGCTGGGTCGTTGTGGGAAAACACCCAGCAGTGCGGGAATGTGGACATGGCCACAGCTCGCGTGGGCTGTCTGCTGTCCTGGTCTTCGCATCATGGGGTATTTTTCCTTATCTGTCAACTGAAAGGGCTGGAGTGATGTCATTTGTTCATTCCTTCACACAGAGCATATCATTGTGTATTTACGATAGTGTGGCCACCGCCATAACTGATCTTGGCGAATGACACAGAAAAATGCCAGGCTGCAGGGCAAGGGGAGAATGTCATGACATAAAAGTGATTCCTTGTTCTGGTCATAGGAAACCTCTGATTTACCTTCGTGCCCTAAACGGCGATGTCTCTGTACCCATGTGCTCAGTGGGGGTGGAAATGGTCCCCATCAGACCTTCCTCCCCATCATCGACCACAAAGCGTGTCCACACGGAGTGTCCACAGAGACATCACTTGCCTTGGTCCTGCTCAGGACTGCATTCTGATTTAGCCAGACAGGCTGCCCTGAGCATTTGGCATGTGCTAGGCTAACACGGCCCACAAAGAAGCCACACATTTTTCAAACATAGTGAAGCTGCCAAACACTGCCTGTCTCATACATGAGTTGGGTGTGCCTATGAATAAGGACGTCCCTGAGCGTGAGTGCCTTGCAGGCATGTAAGGAGGGAACAGAGCAGCACTGAGTGCTGGCGGGGAGGGGCCGAAGGCTGGCGGCCGCAGGAGCTGGCTCTGACCAAGCAGATGGTCACTTAGCAGACAAAGGGCACTCCAGGCTCAGAATCCGCAAGGGCACAGCTCAGAGACCAAGAAGAGCGTGTCATGCTGGGAGCAAGGAGAGGCCACTTGCAAAGAACCAGAACCGGAACATCCCGCGGCCCAGGCTGTCTGGATCCCCCCGACCTGCTTCTCCGATGATGCAACGTGGCTTGTGTTCTGTAGGTGACAAGGAGCTGTCCCCAGGGGCCGAGAGAGTGGAAGCAGGTATGGGATGAGCGAGAAGCACAGACGTGCCAGGGTTCCCAGCGCAGGTAGCCGGGGGTGATCTCATGACTGATGGAAAGATGAGAAAGGCTGGATAAGCAATGGGCTCGGGCGTAGGGTGGGGGGAGGGAGAAACAAGAAACAACTTCCGTCTTGGACATGAATTCATCAAGACAGACAATCCATGAAAACAGTGCTTGAACTAAAAACGTCTCTCATCAGAGGCTATTTGTGTAAGAAAGATAATTAGTCATTTGAGAACATTCCATGAATACTGGAGCTTGTCCTAATGGTGAGCAGTGAATGCATTCTCTGGGGAACATACCGTAACTGCTGATCCCTGCTGCTTCCAATGTGCTGGGCCCATCGTCCCGTGTCTGTGGTGGTCTGAAATAACGACCCTCCCCCAGGAAGGGAGCCCCCCCCGCCCCACCCCCGCACGCCAAGTTCCAGTTAGTGCTAAAGCGTCGCTCAGCGGGAAGACTTGTGAGATGTTTTCACTCCTGCTTGGAGAGGAGACAGACCCTCCTCTCTGACGTGAGTAAAGCTGATGGTGTATCAGAGCTGAACAAGGGCAGGTTTTCATTCACGTCAAGGCAGCCGACCCAGCTGGCGAGGACGTGGAACACACAGCGCCTGCCCGCTCCCCGCGTGGCCGTGGTGCCCTCCCCGAACATTGCCCGTGCTGTCCAACTACTACCTTGCTTACAACCTGCCCGCCCACAGAGGTACCTTGGGAATCACAATCGTCACTGCAAGTAACTTCAAGAGTCCTTAAGACTGTGGCAGGAGGGGTGAGTCACAGCAGCGCCACTGTAGGTCCCTACCCTTGGTGGCCACATATGTGGATTGTGTCAGACACGAGCCAAGCAAGGTGACAGTGCAGCAGGTCCTGAGACTTGATCCTGAGTCCTGTTGTCATCCTTCCTGTGACTCTGTCCCATCAGGGGACTGAAATGTCCCCTGAACCTTGCATAGAAAGGAAGCAGTGGAAGCTAATCTCACCTCATGCCAAAGACCAAAATCGGTCTGGGGGAGTCTCCGGCACTCCGCAGCAGAGCTGGCTCGGTGCTGGAGATCGTGCCGACGATGCTGACTGCTCCGGGTGTTGTCTGTCTCCCTTCGTAACGTCCAGGGCAACGCACACTCGCTTTCAGGGGCATCGTGCTCCAGGGCCAGTGTCTCC